AGTCCATCCTATCAACAAAATAACACATTTAAAGCATATGCAGAAAGCACAATATGTTAAGATAAAGACTCCAATGTGATGCACTTTCAACATATGAACTTTTCAAGAAGTGTTATATCATCTCACTAAGATTTACTGTTTACCATCTTTGACACAATGGACTCAACACAGAGAAATTCAACATGGTGGCTGCAGGTTCCTGGCAGGAGAAACCATGCCTGCTGAATTTCTGCATTTGTGAATGGTACAGGATCTTTCCCAGGCAATTCTTGTCTTGTTGATGGATTTTCCACCTGTTCAAGCCACCAACATCTCCTCCTCCTCTTCCTCTTTCCCTGCCTAATATATGGTTAGATATCCCTGGAGATGTCAGCCCCAGAAGGAAAGGCAATTTTATTCTACCCTTATGCTATCATCTCCACAAAGTTCATCCTGCTAGTTTAGAAATAATTTAGGTGAATTACCACTCATTTCAATCGGTTTACTCTAAGTAGAACTAACATTGATGCAAGCTCAGGAATTTCAGTTTAAAGCCACTACAGTGCTTTTCCAAAAGAGCACATTTCACTGTCAAGTCCTATGAGTCTCTACTCTTAAAAAGACAAATCTAATACAATTGAGTAAAATTTATCAACAAGGCCAAATTTGCAAAAGGAGGGAGGGAGAGAAGGGAATAATCCCATCATCATAAAACGGCATGGTACTGTGTGAACTGTAAGCCCACTGATTTTAATATACTGCTGTGTGCGTGTATGGCTTGCGGTCATTCCGAATGCCTTGCAGGGCGACTACCTTGGTCCAGCAGTGACTCATGGAGGAGACAAGAACCCCTCTATTAATTTTTCAAGAGAGGAGCAGGGAAGGAAGATCAGAACATGAGATGAACGTCAGTGCCCGAATAAATGAAATGCTGTTGTGTGGTTATTGGCTATAGTTGTGCCATGTCCAAACACACACTCACAGGTGTCCCCCTCATTTAATCATCTCCACAATGGCAGCATTACTTCAGGAGTCCCTGGCCAAGGCCATGAAGCAGAGCAAGGTGGTCTTCTCTGGTGCTGTATGTGCATGCGAGGAGGGAGGACAGAATCCTCCACTGGGCTCAACTTGGCTCAGGTGTGGTGGACACTGGCCTTTCACTAGTGCGGAAGCAGGATTGCACTGCCAGCTCAAGCGGTTTGCGCAGAGGTTGGGAAGGGGACACCATCTTGCCCATCACCTCAGAAAGCAAGATGTCGTGGGCTGGCTCTGCCCGTCATCACGAATTCAAAACATGAAATATGGACAATCCAGTGATATTGCACCGCCATCTTCTTGGCCACTGTTATCACAGCAGTGATAGTGACGGGTATGTCTTGAAGTGCAAAAGCTCACTCTGACAGTGTGCATAAGACCCACGCCCCCTCAAGACCCACAATCCTGTAATTAGCTATCTGGGAGTAATTAGCTATCCACTGAGCCCAGCGCACAGTGCTTACTTCTGACTGCATAGGTGAACTTCCTCTTGGAAAATGCACTGAGTCGTAACAAACGGCTAAGCATCATCAGCATCAGCATCATCCCTGCACTATGTCTGAAAAAAAGAAAATCCTGAAGTTGCTTTTCCCCTGCCCCACTGTGTTCTCTCTCTGCTATACCAGTGAGTCACAGGAATTGCAAAGCATGATGAAAATGAATTGCAGCCCCCGAATGTGTCTGCAGCAGGAAGAAGATGGGCAATGAGAAGCCCAGTTTTCTCCCATGCAGTGGAGTAGCACCCAGTGCTGCTCAGGCAATTTGTTCATATTGCCTGGCTATCAGGTACCTCACACTGTTCACCTCTTAATCTCGGCAGTGCTTTAATGCTCTTTGAGGAAGACACCTGCCTACAGTAGTTCCTGCCTAATTAGGGTGGCCAGGTGTCCTTCTTTATAGTGCTGTATTAGAAGGGGTCCTGTATTTGAAAGGCAGTCCAATCCATTCCTGTTTATAGATGGAAGGAGGTCAAGCAGAGCTCTTGAAGCTGCTCATCAGCTTGAATAGCAGAATGAGTAGGCACCCACTGCACTGTATTTCTGTTTAAATCACAGTTGTTATTACACATATATTAGCATAAGAAAAAGTTATATATTAAAAAACTAACCTCCTTTTTGTTATTCATTTCCTCTTGTTTAGCCATTGCAGCATGGAAGAATAATTGTCCCTTTCCTCTTACAGACTCCCTTAAATGGAAAGCTATGAATATCTCCTCAGAAGTAAGTCTGATTGAGTTCCCTGGAACATATTCCCAGGTAAGCAGGTATAAGATTGCAGCTTAAATGATTCACTTGGTAATCATGGGAAGAGAAAACCTATTGCATAGCTATAAACTATGGACTTGGAAATATGAGTGTTTAATGCCTGAAAGTACCACATCTGTATATAATGGAGTGCCTAAGCAGCAGCCCATTGATAAAATAATGCAGGGAGAGTTATTATTGATTATCTAAAAGCCTTTCAGTATCCAAAGAAAGAGCTTTCTCATTTGAGCTTCTGTGATCCAAGAAAATTAGAAGAACTGTGCACATTCTAATCTGCACTTATCTGTGACATTAATCGAATTAGCCTTGTCTGCAGTGTTTCTTTCCCTATGTGCCAATTTTGCCAGCCTCTTTTCCACTTGGCTTAACATCCAGTCTCCTTGCCATCTTGTCAGCCTTTCTGTCCTGCCCTGAAACGGGGAAGTGATGCCCCCAAAGCGATGACACCAAACAGGGTCCCCCTCCTGGGGGGAGCCAGTTCAGGAAGGATGGAGGGGCAAGGGATGCCTCTCTAATATTGAGGTCACTTTTGTCTCTTGGAGCGGGGAGGATTGCTCCTCTTTCACAGGGTCTGTGCATGTGCAATGGAAGAAGGTATAGTACTAAGTGGGGATCAGAACGGGGGATCCATTCGTGTAGGGATGGGTAGGGATATATGGTTGTGGGCGGAGTGCTAGTGAGGAAAAGAGAACGTGGTGGGGCAGTTATCGAGACTCTCCTTGCAACTGCCAGCTTGCAGGCTGCCTGATCAACGAGCCCTTGGATCTCTGGATGCTGCTTCCAAATGCCAGACTGGTGCACAGAAAGACCTCCCCCATCCCTTCATCCAGCAGTGGATGAAGAGACAATCTGGCATGTATGGCCGAGAGCTGGGTGGGTGAACAGGGAGGAGCTACTCTCTCCTAGCTCTGCCTGCTAGGGCAGCTTGGAACATCATCAAGGAAGACTAGAGGGCCAAGGGATGGGTTGCCATGGTCTATAGGGATTCTCTCTCTTTCACCATGTTTTCATTCCTCCTTTCAAATTCCACTCCTCTCATTTTACAGACATTCCTCTTCTGAAGTCAGTTGTGATTGAGTTGGACTTCCCTGGCAACTGAATAATTTTCCAGCTTGCCCCGTTGGGTGTTTGTTTTTCTATTTCACCATCCATTTCCAGTTGCTGCAAACCAATTTATTCTAGGCTGTTTTTATGGTATGTGGCAGCAAATATTTTTATACCTTGGTTTTATCTTCCAACTCTCTCTCTCTCTCTCTCTCTCTCTCTCTCTCTCTCTCTCTCTCTCTCTCTCTCTCTCTCTCTCTCTGTTTGATTGTCATATACAGTGGTGTGATGGAACCAGGGCTTATGGACATGTAGCACCAACATCTGCCTCTCCCATCCTCCAGAATTCCCTGCTTCTTCTGAGCTTGTCTATAATCCTTACAGCAGCTGGTGTGAAAACTGATTTTCACAATACATTACTATGAACAGTTCCTGCTATATGGTGAAGTATTTTGGGGTGGGCAATTAAGAGGATGCGCTCCTTGTGCTCCTTGTGGAGACAAAAAGTGCCAGAGTCGTTGATATGCTTGTCTGACTGCTTGGGTCTTCCTTAGGGGTGTGCTATGAGGAACACCTGCCCTTCAACATGTATCACCACAGCGCTGGTTTGAGACTGCCTTGATGAAATGGTAGTTTTAAGAGTTGGTAAGCAAGCATGAATGGTGCTCTTGCACCAGAAGAGAGGGATGGAAATATTCTACGCAATATCATATACAAGTAAATGTCAAGCCACCTGTCCTCCAACAGAGAGAAGGTTGGAGAAAATTTGGCCCGTGAGAAGAGGCTTGGGGAAACAAATATGAGTAGCGAGAGGCACTTTTTCTCCTGCTTTTGTGACACTAAAACCAGGTGGGACCATGTTTACTATAGTGACCGTATCCAGCACTGCTGCTCGTCTTACACCATTGGTGCAATGCTCACAGAAACAGCCTCTGCTACAAAGGCAATAGTGTATGCCTGCTAAAGCTCACTCACATTTGCACAACATCTGTGGCATAAGTTGTGCAGCATAATTCACACACTGCCCTGTCCATACAGTAGGTTTAGGAAGGACTCTTGTTTCCGATGGTTCTTAATTTACACCGGATTCTGCAAACTCGAAGCCATACACGCATGCAGGATGCTTGCACCGGCACCAAGCAAATGTCCAAGAAATCACTGTGGGGGATGGGAGGGCAAGCAGCAAGACGAAGGCAGAGTGGTGTTTTGAAACACACAGTGTAGCCATTAAATTATGCCATGGCCAGGGCTTAGTAGTTCTTTTGAAAAAGTTAGCCGTTACATCTTCAGTCCTTTGAGAATTCCCTGACTATACAGAAGTCCATTATCTTCATATATACACCCATTATCTATACTTTGCTGTTTGCCTTCTCTTCCTGGAAAATACTGTTTCTCTTGTTGCCAAAAGGCAGGGCATGGGAAGGCAGCCCCTCCTTCAAGTATCAGGTGACTGCCAGAGATACGTACGTGGCTGGCCGTCTGAATGCATTACAGCTTGGGGAGAATCAATAGCCACTCTGCACGATGTATTAGCATCTGACAGACGTTTTAAAGTCATGATTGGTGGCAAGCTCCGTCTGGGCTCCTTTGGGTACTGTAAGAATAATTCTAGTTATAAAATTGTACGTGCGTTCACTGTAAAATAGAAACGGGCATTTTCTTGTGTTCTTTGTTCAGAAGAGGTTTGACTGGAGGGCTGGAGTCATTTTTCCCTCTGTCCTTGGAAGGTTTTCCTGCTTTGCGGATACAAAGTTTTGAGAGGATGAAGCCAAAGCCAAAGCCAACTTCTGCCCCACCAGAGAAAAGGACCTGCAACCAGGTGTTCTGGGCTGTCTTCCCTCATACCTGCTTCATCTGTGCCCTAGTCATCTATGCATTGCTGGGGGCCCTCATGTTTTCTCATGTTGAAGGTAACAGAGAGAACAATGAAAGTGAGGCATACAGGAATTTCATGCTGAGTCTTTGGAATCTGTCAAAGGATTTGTCAGGTAAGTGTGTTCGCTCAGCTGAGAGATGGTGGTGGCAGTGATCATGATAATGGCATGGGATGGACACCAATTCTCTTCTCATTTTGAAGCGCTGGATAACAGATTATGCTGATGTCCAGAGAATATCTTGTGTTTGATTTTCTTAAACTGAAAGGATCTTTTGTCCATGCACAACTCTCTCCCCACCCCCCACCCCCCGCACGCCCATCTTTGCTTCATGAATAAGTCTTTCTCACAATTGGGAATTTTCTTTCCTTGGGATTGGTTCATGGGACATTGCCATGACTGGAAATGTAGATGTCAGAAGCGGAAGTTTCTGGGAAAACAAGTGGATCAGTTTGAGGCTTCCTTGTCACAGATCTCTGACAGTATCTGCCTGAATGCTTTAGTCCTAAAGGCATTCATCTAACAATCCTTTTCCTAGAGTAGTTTTATTTCAAGCAATGCAATTACTTTGGGGTGCAACATTTTCAGATTTATGATAAGAGTCATGATTCCTGGGGTGGGGGAGGTATAACAGAAATATAACATTGTTAGGGATATTTTGTTAAAGTTGCTTCTCTCAGTCTTTATATTTCCATTTACAATATTCTCTGGTGTGTCTTTGATTGATTGATTGATTGATTGATTTTTAGCATTTTTATATGCTGTCCAATACTAAAGTCTCTGGACGGCTTACCAAAAAAACAAAAACAGCTTTTTCCTGCCAGAAACTAGTCTTGGTCTTGAAATCAGTGTGGTGTAATTGTACTGGGGCTCAGGCGATCTGGGTTCTAGTCCCCGCTCCACTATGGAGCCAACTGGCTGACTTTGGACCAGTCACTGACTCTCAGGCTAACCTACCTCACATACATGGTTGATGTGATGATAAAACAGAGAAGAAGAAGACTACCTAAGTCATCCTTGCAAGAGTAAAATAGGTGTGCTATAAATGTAATAATAAATAAGATAAATGAAAAAAAATCTAAGGGTATATGTGGAAAGTGGGGCCCAACCAAGTGCTTTGTGTAGTTCTCTTAGCACTGACTAACAACAGAGAATTCACACACAAGACCTGGGAGGCAGAGAAACTGCTGGACCACAAAGGGTTGTCCTTAGCTCATGCCCCATCCCCACATTAGAAATTTGGAAATGGAAGGTGTGTGTTTAAGCCACTGCAGTGAAACCTGTTTTTTCCATTGCTGGATCATGACATGGTTCCACTGAAGGGAACAGTAAATCATAGCACAGATTGAATTATCTGTCAGGGTTATTGTTGTTGTTGCTGCTGCTGCTGTTATGATTCCTGGTTTATAACCTATGATTATGCCTTCTGATCAGAAAATGCAACTTCCAATGAGATTTTCAAGAACAGAGCATATGAGCTGATCAGCAATATTGACTTCATATGGTTTACTGATCCCAGAAAGAAATGGTCCTTTTTGGGCTCACTCTTCTTCTGCTGCACTGTGTTCACAACAGTTGGTAAGTACCAATCTTGGCAAATTTTGGCAAAGTAGTATTTTGCACTACTTCTGCCTAGATTGGAGGTGCCAAACATCATCCCAGAGAGCTAAATCCAGCCCACTGGAAGGCCCCATCTGGCCTGCCAGTGTCCCCCAGAACCTATTACTTTATGCCAACTTCCCCCATTCTAAAGGCTTGAAATGCCCTGTCTAAAGCATCCTTACTGGCACTAAACATTTTTCTCTAAAATGTACTGGTATTGCACATTTCAGCATTGCTGAAATAGCATTTGGCCCTCAGACTGAAGCAGATTGTGCACCCCAGCTTAAATACAAGACCCTGGCAGCACATGAAGAAAACAACTCCTCCCTGCAAGGAAATATGTGGCTAGCATATTTCATCAGGATATCGCAAATCAAGGGTTGCAGTTCTATTCACATTTATGCAGGAGTAACTCTGGTTGAACTTACTGGGATTGACTTCAGAGCAAACATGAACAGTGTTGCAAAGGTCAAGCTTTCCTACATGGGGCTATTAATCAGCTGTAACTGCTTCCTGTTTTGTCACAAAGCTGAGATCTAAGAATTTCATGAGGAACATTTCCTTTTCTGCTTTTTCATTACATCCCCTTGACATGGCACTGTGGTATAGTGGAAATGCACAAGTTGAAAAAGTCATTTCTTTCCAGTTTTACAGTTAAACACTGTGCTTTTCCTGCTCTGAAATTACTACTAGAAAGTGCTTTATAGACACAAAATGACAGGGGAGGGTCATGAATGATGTTGCTGGGAGTAGGAAATGATGCACATCCAATAAATGCCCTATGTAGAAAAACCTGACACAAAGGGCTTCCTAGAGAATGCAATGAATGGATAGGAAAGGTAGCATTAAACTACTCTTCTTTATAGAGAATCCTATCAGATTTATTTCTGATAATGCCATGGCCCAATAGCCACACACATTTCTCACTTTGGTCTTCATTCACAGCAAATAGGAAAGACTCTCGTTTCTCTTCCCATTAACCCTGTAACAGGCCAATAGCAATACTGTTTTAGAACATGAAACCAAGAAACTCCACTCCCCGCTCCCTTTTTAAAAATTGGATTAGAATATCTCAGGTTGAGTTTCTTCCTGGCACTGTGTTAGTAAAGATGGTCATCTTCTACATATCTATTACATTACAAGAAATCTTCAGAAACTTGAACTGTAAGTGGAATCAAGGAGGTATGCCTGGAGCACAGTCTTATGCACATTTACCTGGAATGAAGTCCTGCCGTCTTCAATGGAATTTACACCCTTAAAATGTATTTTGGGGAGCAGCCTTAATATAGCTTATAGTCAACATGTGCATTGTGTACATTGACTCAAAACACATTTTTTTCTTGACCATTTGGAACCTTTCACTTCTCTTTTGGAAAAGTGATCACTTGCCTATCCGATGCACTTATTGCAGGCAGAAAGATATCCACCCCTTCCATGTCACACCTCATTCCCTAAGGATGATAAGCAGGGAAGTCTGGCTTACAGAAGCAAACTTTTCAACTGTTCTGTGGACAGATGGGGTCATTTCAACACTGTAGTGGCGCTTCCCATTCTCCAAAAGCAACATTCCCCCACTGATGGTATTGTATTGGTGGAAGAGCCCTGTGCTCAGGGTGTATCTAGAATGGGTGCGTATAAAGGGGAGCAGCACCCCAGCTACGAGTCCTGCCCCCTGTCTAAATGCATCCAGTTAAATGCATACTTTCCATATCTGCACACATGTGACTGTATGTGTGTACAGCTCTCTCCCAATCTGTTCTTCCAGTATTATTGACTGTATGGAAGGGGGAGGGCAGAGAGAGAGCGAGCTTCCCAAATGGTAGCATTCTTGGCAGCAGTGGTTAGTGGCACCAAAGGCAGCGGCATGGTGTAGCCATTCTGAATTTCAGTCTGAACTTTAGAGGACCTATCCATAGGGTTGCTTCGATTTGGGGGACAGGGTTCACTACCATGGATGGCACCAAAGTTCTGACTGAGACCTGGAGTGGATACACCACTCCACTGACATCGGAGCCACCAGCCGCCACGGGCTGCAGGCACCATGCAGACATATAACAGAACATTCTCAGCCTTCCTCAACCTTGAAAGCTCCAGATGTTTTAGACTGCAACTCCTATCATTCACAGCCAGCATAGCCACTGGTTTGTGGAGGTGGGTGGGAGTCTCTTTGTGCATGACTGTCTTTATATTTTTGGTCTTTTTAATCTAATCAGGATTTGAGTTAAAATATATAAACAGGGAAAGCCAGAAATGCGCTCAATAAATCAAGTGGCGATCACAGGGCAGCTCCCTATGCTGGGTAGGGCCAATGGAATGTAGCGCGCTAACTTCTAGAGGGCCACACCTTCCCACACCTGCAATAAATCTTAAAGCAGCATGTGTATTGAAATAGTTAATATGAAGCAGTATAGAAACAGAGAATGAAAGGCATGATGTGAACATTAATATCAAAGTCATTTGTTCACAGACGTTAATAGAGTATTGACACCAGTTTGCATCCCTTCCTACATGTACTTCCTAATCTCAGATTACCACTGAATCTTGATCATTTTGCAATTTGACATACCTGCTCATACCTACCTTGCAATTTGCAAGACTGGTCCTGCCCTTCATTGAGACAGGACCATCCATATCCATAACGCTGTAAGCTCTGTGGAACATTACATGTCGAGTAAAGAAAAGATTAAGATTCATCATGGTAACAAAGAAAAATATAACGACATACCCAAATGGCTCATTGGCTGGATTCATATAACATGACTAACAACCCCGCACTGTTTCCACAGTATGCTGATTGTCGCCCAGACTTATGTGATTACCTACCAGTCTCAAGGTACATCTTGACAGACCTGTGAGCATAACCCCCATTCTTTCCTTATGGATCACAGCAGCCTCCTCCTGCGGGATTCATTGCAGTCCTGAGGCAGGTTTCCCCTTCCTCCTCCTGTATATCAGCAATTTTGGGGCACTTCCCAGCCACTCCAGTCCACACAGGGATTTTATTAAATGCAAATGAACAGTATTGTGTGGTTGCTCCCTTCTCCCTCCATATATTTTGGTGTTGCCTCCTTGTTTCCAAAAGTAAACAGGGAGATGGACACATTGCTCAACCACTGAGAATAAAGTGAGCAATGACATTTCAGTTGCTAGGGAGCTGAGGATGATAGAGTCAAAGGCCAGAAGTGGCCACTACTGCAGCTATTCTCTGTGTTGTTCGCATATTAACAGTGGTAAAGTGGATGACTGGAGAAGCCACGGTGAAGCCTAGAGACCTTAGAATAGACCATTGATGCTCACCGGGATTTCAAAAAACTAATACTGCTATGCAGGAACTCCAGAACTGGGACCAGGCAATACAACAGAGCCACAATAGTTAGATTCCACCATGTCTTCTCATGCCATGTGAACCTGCCCATTAGGTGAGATTGTTGGAGAAAGATGGAAACCTGTGTCAGCATCCAAACTGACTTATGGTGCAATTCTTCTGGAGTGCATAAGTGGCAGCTGGAATTTGAATATTTAATTTGTTATCCTGGCATTTTTATGAAGCTGGATTGAGGAACCATTTTCTCTGTCAGTGCCAGCATTACCTCAAGGGTAATCTTGAAGTGAACCTCAAGAGGACTGCATGCCAGGGCCAGAGTCAAATTGTGCAGAACGACCCATTCTCTTTCTCACCCTCTTCCTGCCCGCTGCTTTTTGTCTTTCCCCCTTCTTCTCCCTCTCTTTTTCCCTTCTCCACCTCACTGGCTACAAGGGAAGGGACCACTGATCAATTGAACTTGTTGCCCACTCCTACCTTAGAGACAACTAGTCCTTTAGAATAATTTCTCTTCAAATATACTAACCCTTCATTTTTTTAGGAATGCACGTTCAGCTAAGATGTAGCACAGATTTTCAACATGTGTTCTCTTCAGAATGAATCAAATTAAAAAGTGAAAATATGCAAGAATTTTTAATCTGAATTAACCAGAAACATTGGACTTTCAGCTGAAATTTGATACCATTATCAAAAAGGAGCCAAAATTTATTTAGTCCTGCCTCAAAGGCAGAATCATCCATGAACTTGTCTTCTTTCCTTCTTGCTTCAAACCATCTCCAAAATTCAGACTTCAGTGGTCCAAAAACTGGAAGGCACTTCTGAGACAAAGAGCTCTGAACTACTCAAGTAATCAAGGCAAGTTCGTGAAATTATACACTGCAAACCAAAACAATGGCAATCTATTTGTTCTGGGTTTTTGGAGAAGCCAAAATATTTGAAAGAGGAAAAGGAGGAGTATTCCTTCTAATTGTTGCCAATACCCCCAGGCAGAATTTCGCAGTATTTGGGTGGACTGTATTGTTAAGGCCTTTTACAAGAATGCAGAATCTGGGCTAAGCCCTTTTGAGGACAATTGTTAAGAGATATAAAGGAAACACAACAGCACCTATAGCAATTAACCTTAACCTCTAGCCTGTCTCTGAAGTCTGCATTATTGGGTACTGCTTCCAGGTGTGAAAAGGAGGATAGGGAGGGAATTAGAAGCTTAAGGGGCCACACATCAAGTTGGTCAGAAAGTCTGGAATGGAATCTAAAGATGGTAAGAAGCCTCCATAGAAGCAGAATGCATGCATCATTTAAAAGGCTGCTTGAGCCAGCCTTTGGTATACTAATCTATTCTTGATCAATTGAATGGCACACCTAGTGACAAAACCTACCATAAACTCCTACCCTCACATTACATTTCACATATAGTGACCTGGTTTGTGTGTAACAAGACACCATAGGTGAGTTTCCCAGTGGTGTTTACTGTAGTAGTAGTGGCTGCCATTTTGAATATCTGAGTTGTGGCAAGAGTGCTCTGTAGCTGTTGTTACACGTAAGCCCAATAAAGGTACATTGTTTGGGTGGCTAATAAACTACCTGCAGCCCAAAACAACCCATGGATACTAGATGGCTTGTAAACCACCTCAAGAACTCCCCCTCTTCAGGGCATGTAACCACATGCTACAAGTACACCCTCTCTGAAGCCCAAATATTCAAAATGGTCAACAGCATTGTAATGAAAACCTTGTGGAAAAAAGAGTCCACAGTGGCTTCTTGTTATGTGCAAATGGTTCTGTGTATGCTGTAGACATTTTGGATGTGAAGTCATAATCCATGACCACTGGCCATGCTGCTGGAGCTAACAGCAGTTGTAATCTAAAATGCCTGGAACATACCAGGTTGGTAGAGAATCACTGCATTCCCTCTAGCCAATTCCCTCTGGTCAACTCCCTTTGAATGTTCGAAGGAAAGAGCTAGTGGGCATCCTATGTGAATGTGAAGGTAGCTTGTTAAACATCTTGAAATATAAGGTTAAGAATAATGCAGATATTGCCTCTGTTTTGCTTAAACTGAATGGCATGGAAGGAAAAGCAACACATTAGGCTTAAATTGTCTTTCTCGGGGGTGGGGTCTTTGTTTGGGGTTTGTCTGTCTGTCTGTTTCAGGTTACGGTCATACCTACCCTGTGACAAGAGTTGGGAAAAACCTGTGTATGCTGTATGCTTTGTTTGGCATACCTCTAATGTTCTTGGTTCTCACAGATATGGGGGACATCCTTGCAGCTATATTATCCACAACTTACAATAAAGCTAGACAACTGCAGTCAGAATTATTAACCAGACTTTCTCCTGCATCGTTTTGTAAGAAAAACAGAGAATCAAAACCAGGATCAACATCATTGTCTCTTAAGCAAAACAAAGTAGTCATCCATGAACCTTTGAATATTAAGGAAGTGCTAAAGCGCCACGCTTCCTTTCAAAGAAAGTCGGGGCAATGTCAGAATGTTGAAATCTTTGAAAGATTAATTGCTCTGGAAAATGGATTCCTGGCACCGCCAAAACCTACCAGATTTGAACGATGGAATTCATGTCCTGAACTGGATACAGGGACAATGATGAATAACATGATTGACAATATTGACAATATAGGAAAAGAAGTGGAAAAGCTGGATGTACCCTTTCTGCTGATGACTCTCCTTGTCTTTGCATACATTTCATGCGCTGCGGCTATTCTTCCACACTGGGAGCATGATTTAGATTTTGAAGGTGCTTTCTATTTTTGCTTCATCACTTTAACAACAATTGGCTTTGGCGATGTCAGCCTGAGGCATCCCAACTTTTTCCTATTTCTCTCATTTTACATTGTGGTTGGTATGGAAATTGTTATCATTGCTTTCAAGCTGGGACAAGATAGGATCCTTTGTCTGTACAAGAAGCTGATTTTCTGCATTGGTCAGAAAAATGTTCCACCGAAAATGGCATGAAGATCCGTTTAAGTAAAAACAACATCAGTTCCCAAGTTACATCTGTGGACAGCTGCATTAAGATGAATTGGATACTTTTGTTCTTCCATTGGATTTCTTTATTCTTAGTGGAAATATTTTGTGAAATGATTGTATAGGGCAGCCCAATGCAAATGGCTTGGAATAGCTCCCCCATCTCCACTTCAAGGAATAAAACTGAGAGAATAACAGTGCAGTCTGAAGCATGTCTATCCAGAGGTAAGCCCCATAGAAATCTCAGGGGGGCAGGCTTTCTGTCTGTGATTAAGCCTGATTGAGGTCAGTAGGTTTTACTTCTGACTAGACTTGCACTGTAAAAATTGTCTTTGGGATGTTAGTCTGTTTTAATATTAATATTCATGTGTGTGTAAATGTGCTGATCATGGGGCTTTAACACAACGGGCAATGGCAGGCTTTAGCCAGATGAACGGCGCCATGTAGTAGCTATCCATTTATTTATGCTATCTATTTATTGACCATTACCAGAATTGGTTCCAGACTGAACCATTAATCAAACCAATAAAATTGCACGACTAAATGAACCAGCGGCTTCTCACAGGCAGTTGCTTACAATTCTATAAAATGCTGGGAGAATTTTTAAAAGGAGCAGGAAGGGGTCCCATGGTGGTATTGTTGTTATTAAAAACGTTTATATGCCATCCCTTATGCATGGCATCTCCGGACAGCTTACAATCATTAAAAACAAAATACAATAAAACAATCTATAGCAATATAATAAATAGCATATAACCAGTAAAATATATTAAATAAATAAACCTTGGTGGCACGCTTACTTCCCCAAGGAGGGCGTTCCAGAGATGGGCACTACAGCCAAAAAGGCCTTCTCCCTGGTTATCATCTCCTCCACCTTTATCAAAGAGAAATGGGGTGGGGAGAAGACACAGTCCTATGCAAGGTTAGACAGGAAAAAAAGGCCTACCACACTCAGTTGGCTGGGGCACTTCTCTGTCTAATCTGTTGAACCTTACATAGGATTCTAAAGTTAGCTGATGATCTCAGGACTCAAGTAGGATTTTAGGGAAGGAAGTGCTCCCTCAGGTACTGGACCCAAAAGCCATTTAGAGCTATAAAAGTCTGTGCCAGAATTTTGAATTGGGTTCAGAAGCAGCCAGCCGAGCTCTTTTCACATTGACAAGCTAGGATGGATGAATCACTTGCTTGCTTTCTTTTGTATTCAGAGTAAACCTATCAATTGCACTAAGCATGTAGCATATAGCCAAAGATTATCATCTTTACTCTAGTGTAAGTACATGGTCAGATCTAGACCACCAAGCACTGGGAGGAGAGGATTAAAGTTCCTCCCCTCACTGCACACACACGCACACACGCACACATGCAATAATTGCTTCCAGAACTCCTTTCCCCATCATGGGGGGAAAGGGGAAAAAAGCCTCAATTGTTTCCAGTAGATTTCCAGCTGGAGCTGTTCCAAGACCCTGTGCCAGTAAATCTAACCAAGTTTTGGTCATAAAGCTAAATCTAGGAGCCCCTGCAAGCTGTGAACCTACCAAAATAGGTTGAATGGCATCTTCTAAACTCACAAGCTGTGTTTGCATAACTGATTTTCAGCTGCTCAGCCCTCACCTGTCACATCACCAGTTTTGCACACCTGTTCAGCACTTGCAGGGTGTCACCCAACCTAGGTGACAAGGAGGAATGGCGCTTGTTACTGACCAGAGCTGAGTCTTCAAGTAGGGATTTTAGCAACCCAGGGGGACAAGCTGTAGAATGATGCTCCTACCCTTACTCAGAAACGATGGAGAGAGAGTTCCCCAACTGATGCTTTCTGGATGTGTTGAACTGTTCAGCCTATCATTCCCAGTCTGGCTGAACAATAATGGGAGTTGCAGTCGAGCACATCTGGAGGACACTGGGTTGGGAAGACTAGTTTAGAGAGAAACTAAACAGAGCACAGACAGTTCTCTCATATTCTGATCTTTTTTTTCTTTACTAGCACAATAGTTTGATTTCATTATATACTATTTTGTGCCAATAATATATGGGCCGCATAAAATTAATAGCTTTTATGCTACATGAAGGCCAACTGAACTTCAGTGTTTCTGCATCTAGAGAAATGAAACAAAGTTGAAAGCCATTTCTCTTTCCAGTCACTCTAAATTAAAAGTACTAAATTTTCCTTATTAAGTACAGGGAGTGCAGTTCTTTTATTATCAGGAGTACCATGTGAATGGATACACAGTCTTGCTAGAAGCTTTATGTCACAATGATGTGCTCTAGCCCTGAAGTGCATAAGAATAGACCACATTTATCTTTTTATCTTTCTTTACCTTCTATAGCTACAGTATATAGCTTCCACTTATTAGAGATTTTACCATGCATTAGCAACCATTCTGAGTGCATGCAACTAAGCTGAAATCAAGTTCAGAGCTGTATTAACTTACTGTTTTAGAGACATAAAGTTGGTCATACACCAGTCTGTTTTGCAGATTACATTAACAAACAGTATGGGTTGTTAAATTCTAAGTTGCCATGATGTGCAAATGTAGATTAACAAACCAAGAAAGAGAACCCATTATTTGTTCTTATGAACTCAGTGTTGTTTGAACCATGAGTTGTCATTATGTGCAAACCCACAAGCATGGGTAGGTTGTTCATGGGCTAAGTTGCCAGCGTACAGAAGGAGCAGGCAGGAAGTGACCAGGTGCAGGGGGACTGAAACCAACCAGGGTTTCATCAATCATCTGAAAGACATATCCAGAGTAAGGTGACAAACCATGAATTAAATAAACCATGGATTAGTATCATGTAAGAACCAAGCCAGTTCTCAGTTTTATCAAAACACTAGAATCTGATTCTTATTCCATTGTAACCCATAATAACCGGGTAGAATGAGCAGGCCATTTACAACTTACCTTCATGAACATTATTCATTTGTTTACTTTCTTTACCGCCTGTAACTGAAGCTCTCTGGGCAGTGTACAACAAAATATCTCGTATATGAGGGATTTAATAACGATTGAATCAAGAAGATTTCGTCTGTGTCGTGAACACAAAAACACTTATAATTATGTATTTCTATCCCTTGGCAGTCTATTTGGTCAATCATTGATCCATCATATTGTTTTTGTTAAGGACATAAAATAAACACTTTTTAAAAAATCACAATCACTTTGAGGTATGTATAAATTTCAAATTATGTTCACATTTGAGTCTTTATAGAATGGCTTATGTTTTCCCTGCCTTGCAAGAAAATACTTGTCCCATATAACATTTTTATTATGGTTCTCAAAGAGTTTATTAATGCAAAACCATTTACAACAGAGGAACTTGCATCATGAAAGCATTCCTTTAGCACTCTTTTTAAACTCTAGCCTCATCATTACTTGTGAACAAGATTTTAATGCATGCATTTTAATTCAACTGAACTCTTATTACTCTATACATACTGATATGGATCTTCCCCTTTCCCCTACCCAGTATAAGATATGAAAAGTAAACATCAAAAGTCTGTATGGTTGCTGACTTTTCAAAATATTAACAATTGTTCTTTTTCTCTCTATTAACAGTTATCTGTATTTTTAAATCTATAATCTAACCAATCTATATTTGAATAAATGTATGCCAATAATGAATAAATGGTCTTTTATTCTTCTTTGGTACATGTGTCAGCTATAAACCTGGAGTTTGGATAGGAAGCCTCATGCCTTCCAGATGTTTTGGACTGCCAGTCCCAGCCAATATGGCCAGTGATCAAGGATTTTGCAAAATGCAGACTAAAGCATCTGAAGGGCATAAGGTTGCTTACCCCTGGCCTAGAACATCTGCTGCTTTCTTCTATTTTTTGTTTTCATTTTGTAAACTAAAAGGGAATATAGCGTTCTGGGTGAAGATAGATGAAGGACTATATTTTGTTCACAAAACAGAGATGAAGAAGATGGAGTTGTTAAAACTGTCTGAACATTGTTCATGGATGTCCAATAACTCCAATAATCATGATTAATGACTCGGAATTGATTAAGAATGGATGATAGGCTAGAATGCATCTTAAATAGCACCAATAAAGACCATGCTTGCATTACATCATTCTGCCTATTTAATCTGTAGCCTCATGAAGCAGGTTTTACTTTTAATCCAGAAATAACAAAGTTTTTTACTGTGTATGAGATATTTCTTTTAGGATGGTTAATACACAAGAGCAGAGAGCAGGGTTCAGAAGAGCAGTTACTATGTACATTGCAGAAGGCTGGTTTATGCTGGTAAAAGGTCAAGCCCATCCCACCAGGACACCCTGGGATCCATCACACCCAGCAGAGTTCACAGAAATAATAGTCCCTGAGCTGCTAGCCTTGGCAACAGGAGAGTTGACTGTCATGGCACAGTCCGTGTGATAGCACTGCGGACAGCACACCAGTACGTCGGGTATAGCCATCCAAGGAAGATCGTATGAAAACTGGAATGCAAGGGAAGCCAACTGATTGCTGGGGAAACAAGGCCTGGACACAAGCCAATAAAGTCATGTCAATCCAGCCAAGCTGGAGAGTGTGTTGCTGACTTCATTTCTCTGACCAAAGATGTAGTGTTCTCAAGCACCAATGGGCAGCTCAAAGAATGGGTCACACAGAGCCCTTGGCTGTTCTCTGGGGACCCCACGGAACACCCAGAAGTCCAATCCAGTGACCAGAAGGAAAATCATCATTGTTCCTGGCCTGCTATTAGCAGTGGGGTACAACAATCTTCATCAGGATCACTGGGGAGAAGGGGGATCCCTCTTTCCTTTCCAGGCTCAATAGGGCTTTTAAATGCTTATACTTCCTTGCCTGATGGTTTTGCACTTTGAGTTAAAGGCTAAAGTTACATTTCAGCCAACCAGGGATGGCTTGTTAAACCTCCTATTAGCAATGCAGACTGCAGGGTGCTGACAGGCAGGATTGCCCACCCAAACCTGACTCCTGAGGAAAGTTGAGACATCACCCTGCTGACAAAAGTGCATATAGTCAAGG